TGTGCTGGGAGACACAGCAAACCTTCTTGCAATGGCACGTATTGATGTGCCATCCTGGAGGAGTTGGACTACCGGTGCAACCTCTGTAGGGTCCAGGTATGGCCTCATGCTACCAGTAGTGACACTGACCCTAGCCAAATGCAAAACAAGTGAGCAACAGTCAGAAAAGATGAGTAGGGAAAAAATTGGCAGTGGCCTCCACCTGTAAAACCATTCCTGTTTTGGGGGGTCGTCTCATTGTTGCCCATCTAGTGCACCTGTTGTTAATTTCATTAACACCAAAGCAGCTGAAACTGATTAACAACCCCCTCTGCTACTTAACTGACCAGATCAATATCCCAGGAGTTTAATTGACTTGATGCTGTACTTTGATTAAGAAGTGTTCCTTTAATTTGTTTGAACAGTGTAGTTATACTTTAAGATCATTCACATAGTAAATTGTAGTTACAAATTAAAATTATGTGCAACCAATGTGTCTCCACACTTACATATACCTAATAGATAAAGGGAAAAAAAAAACCTTGACAAAAAATTAATGCAGCCACCACATCTAAGGGATGGTAATTTGCAATGCATTACATTGCTGTTTTGGGATTTACATATCCTTTAAAATATTCTCCCATCAGAGAAAACTGCAATGCAGCAGCTGATAAGCTCAAAATGAAAGCAGTAAAAATTTCAGGACCAAAAATAAAGGGCATTACATTTGCTTTATTGTATTCACTATCTTTCTTTGCTGCTTGCAAAATTGTTCCAAGCCATTTCTGGCACTTTCTGTTTACATGTTAAAATCAGTATTTTTTGCTAGAAAATTTCTTAGAACCCCCAAACATTATATATTTTTTAAAGCAGAGGCCCTAGAGAATAAATTGGTGGGTTTTGCATTTTTTTATGTCACATGGTATTTGTGCAGCGGTTTTTTCAAACACTTTTTTTGGGGAAAAAATATACTTTTTGAATCTTAGTACAAAAAACACAATGCAAAACCCAATTTTTTTGTAAAATATATATGATGATATTATGCCAAGTAAATAGATACCAAACACGTCATGCTTTAAAATTGTTCCCGCCTGTGCAACGGTGACAAACAATGTAAATTTTAGTATTCATAGGCAATGCTTTAAAAGCCTTTACAGATTACTACTTTAGATTTACAGAGGAGGTCTAGTACTAGAATTACTGCCCATGATCTGACATTCACAGTGATACCTCACATTTTAACCACATGTATTGCTGTCACAAGGAATGCAAACAGACCTTGTGACAGCAATAGACTCGTGACAAGTATGCTTTATGGAGGGATCTGGGGTCAGTAGGACCCCAAATTTCTCCTCTGCACGTAAAACCATTCAAAACACCAAAATGTATGTTTTTGAATGCTTTCATTTTTTAAAAATGGTGCATTTACTTCCAAGTAAATAAGAAGTGAGGCCTGGTCATCGCCTCCGGTTTACTGTAACAGAGAGCTGATCAAAGCTGATCTCAGCTTTGTTTGGCTGTCCCGCCAACTGCCAGACATGCCAGCTGGTTGCTTGGGTTTGCCAATGTTGTCCCCTCCCACTGCTTGTACAAGCAATTGAGTGGCTAGTTAGCTGCTCGGATTGCTTGTACCAGAGAGCCAACCACTGGCTCTAAAAAACTGTTGCAAACATCACTCCTGTATAACCACTAGTTGTGCTTGCTAGTCCTCACAAAAAGTACAATAAAATGTAGCACCCATGCAGCTAACTGTAGTGTTTATGACTGTGCAGCAGCCAGATGAGCTGAGATTCAATTTTCTAGAGTTCTGCAGGTTCGGTGTAGAACTAGAGATAGATTGTTCCAGCAAATAGAGTGGGAGAATTAACCCAAGAGTTACGAATGTTTACCAAAAACAGCAAATGCCTCAAGAGGGAATAAATGTTTGGGAGAACCTGGGCAGAGCTCTGTCTCCTCTAGGGCAACCCTTAAGATGAGGCCTGGGTATGGAATGCTGCTGTTTGCATTAGGCCCCAGTGCTTGCTATAGGCTGGGGGCTATGGAAAAGAAACTTGTTGAAGTTGGGCTAGAGAAGGGATTTTCTTGTCTTGGCCACCCCTAATTACCAGTTCTACTGCAAGGCTATGGCTGAAAGGGCCTGTCACTGCTGAGATATCTTATGCAAAACATTTCATAGTTATGCCCAATTGTTTACATAGATGGCGGCTATATCATTATGCCATTCACAGACATTTACAGATGAGACTATGATTAATACTTTTCCCCCTAGTGCCCAGTACTGGGATCGCTACATCACTTCCTGTTAGCAGAGTAGATTCAGTTTTTATAACAGCAGAGGATATTTGGACCTGTAGTCCTATAGCCAATACATCCTGTATACCTGAGTGCTGATTGAACTATAACTACCAGAAAGTTGGTGAATGAGAAGAATGCTGGGAAAGTAGATATATTTTACAGCAAGGGACTGTCTCTCTCTCTCGGTGTGGGATTCAAAGCTGAACACAGGGAGACTGCTGTTCTCATACAGAGAAAGATTGCTGGCCTACTGATGTGGGACTCTGCACATCAGTTTGCACAACAATGATCCCGATTGCCACACCACATCAGTTTCTCTGCATCGGAACTGTCATTGTCCTGTCTTCACACAGAAATCTCTGTTTGTGGCACTGACAGGCCGTCAGACAGTAACTCTGAACATCCCTGCAAAGAGCCAAGAGCCTGGGCAAGAACTCTTGTTCCTAAGAGGCCATGCTATCCATTGGATTGGTGAGCTGGAGGATGCCCAACTTCTTTCTGTCATCACTCTGCATGCAGAGACACTGCATGCAGACCCCTTTACATCTTGGTTACAAGGAGGCCTTTGAGCAGTGCCACGGCTGTTTAACTTCATTGAATTACCAGTATTCACTAATGCTTATGTGCTCCACCATTGCTAGCAGAACACAGCGGATACCACCATATCAGGAAACTTAAACATTGCAGGACTTAAGTTGCAATCTCTAGTTAAAGGGACCTTGTTATTGATCTCAGGGTTTTTACAGTGCTCAGCATAAATGAGTACATCCCTTTTGAAAAGTAGGATTTTAATAAATATCTCACTGAACGCAAGAACAATTTCCAAAATTGAGGTTTATAGAACATTTGTTTAGCTCTTCACATGAAAGTAAGTGTAATAATATAACTTATATTACAAAATCTTCAGTTTTACTCAAATTAGTTGATGCAAAAATTAGTACACCACACAACAAAAACTACTTCCTCTAGTATTTTGTATGAATTTCATGACTTGTAAGGACAGCACCAAGTCTTCTAGACATGGAATGAACAATTTGGCGACATATTGCAACATCGATCTTTTTCCATTCTTCAAGAATTACCTCTTTTATAGCCTGGATTCTGGATGGAGAGTGATGCTCAACTCGTCTCTTCAGAATTCCCCATTTAAATGTTCGATTGGGTTTAGATTCAGGAGACATACTTGGCCACTGAATCACTTTCACCCTGTTCTTCTTCAGAAATGCAACAGTGGCCTTAGATGTGTGTTTTTGATCATTGTCGTGTCAGAAAAGTGCATGACGACCAAGGGCATGGAGTGATGGAAGCATCTTTTCTTTCAATATAGAGTAGTACTTCTGTGAATTCATGATGCCATCAATGAAATTCAGCTCCCCGACACCTGCAACACTCATGCAGCCCCACAAAAGAACACTGCCACCACCATGTTTCACTGTAGGCACCATGCATTTTTCTTTGTACTCCTCAGCTTTGCGATGCCATACAGTTTTTAAGCCATCAGTTCCAAAAACATTTATCTTGGTCTCATCACTCCAGAGAACAGAGTCCCAGTAGTCTTCTTTTTCAGCATGGACCCTATCAAATTCTAGGTGTGCTTTTTTTGTGCATGGGCTTTAGGAGAGGCTTTCTTTGTGGACAATACCCATGCATGGCATTCCTCTGCAGTGTACGCCATATTGTGTCATAGGAAATATTCACCTCAGTTTGGTTTTCTACTTTTTTAGCTAACTGCAGTGAACTTGCATGGCAATTTCCTTCAACCCTTCTCATCAGAAGATGCTCCTGTCTAGGTGTTTCACTTTGGTGGACGGTCTGAACATCTCTGTGAGATGGTTGCAGTTCCATCTTTATTAAATTTTTGTATCACTTTTGCTACAGTATTTTGACTGATAAGTAAAGCTTTGCGGATCTACTTGTAGCCTTCACCTTTCTTGTGTAAAGAAATTATATTCTTTCTCAGGCCTTGTGACATTTCTCCTCCATGTGGTGCCATTGCTGACAGCATGAAATGGGAAGGGGTTTTCTTTGTTAAGTAATGCCCTTTTATAATCAACTGTCTGCTGGACACTTGTTTAATGAATTATTAGACTCACCTGTTGTTTAATTCTTGTTAATTAGGACTTTGTTGTCTAAAATTTAGCTTTGCTTTCATTGGGACATATTCATTTTTGCAACATGGTCTTGAATGAATTTGTAAGGAAAAAAACTTTTTTATGTGTGCAAATTAACCACTTGCCTACCAGGCACTTATACCCCCTTCCTTACCAGGCCAATTTTCAGCTTTCAGCGCTGCCGCACTTTGATTGACAATTGCGCGGTCATGCAACATTGTACCCATATGAAATTTTGATAATTTTTTTCTCACAAATAGAGCTTTCTTTTGGTGGTATTTAATCGCCACTGGGCGCTTTACTTTTTGCGCTATAAATAAAAAAATGCAAAAAATTTGAAAAAAAAAAAAAAAAGTTTCTTTGTTTCTATTATAAAATTTTTCAAACAGGTAATTTTTCTCCTTCACTGATGTGCGTTGAGGCAGCACTGATGGGCACTGATAGGCGGCACTGATCGGCACTGATAGGCAGCACTAAAGGGCACTGATAGGCAGTACTAATGAGGTGGCACGGATAAGCGGCACTGATAGGCAGCACTAATGAGGTGTCACGGATAGGCGGCACTAATATGCAGCACTGATAGGCAGCACTGATAGGTGACACTGATGATGGGTACTGATAGACGGCACTGACTGGCATCACTGCTGGGCACTGACTGGCGGCACTGACTGGCACAACCGCTGGGCACTGACTGGTGGCACTGACTGGCAGCACTGCTGGGCTGCACTGGTGGGTGGCACTGGTGGGCAGCACTGGTGGGTGGGCACAGGTGGGTGGCACTGGTGGGCACAGGTGGGTGGGCGGGCACAGGTGGGTGGCACTGCTGGGCACAGGTAGGTGGCACTTCTGGGCACAGGTGTGTGACACTGCAGAGTGGCACAGGTGGGTGCATTGCTGGGCACAGGTGGGTGATCTGCTGGGCACAGGTGGGCGGAGCTAGTGGGCGCACTGCTGGGCACAGGTGGGCGGAACGTGTGGGTGGCACTGCTGGGCACGATCATCAGGGCACTGATCATCAGTGCCCTGATGATCGGTGCTGATCCCGCTCTGACAACTGCCGGTTCTCGGCAGTACTTTCCTCACGATCTGACAGCGTGAGGAAAGTGCAGCCGAGAACCGGCACTTGCATTTCCCTGTGATCAGCATGTCATTGGACACCGCTGATCATGTGGTAAAAGGCCGCTGTGATTGGCCTTTTACCACATCACGTGATCAGCTGTGTCCGTAGGACACAGCGATCACGGAGATCGCCGGGTGCGCGTTCTGGGAGGACGTCATATGACGTCCACCCAGAACTGGCCGGCCGCAGTGCAGCCGTCATTCGGCTATCTGCGGTCGGCAACTAGTTAACAAATCTGTTTGAAATCAATAGCCTGCATTTGTGGGAGTATTTTGTAGTACAGTGTCCCATAGAACATGTTGATTCTGAAAGGAAAGTAAAGGTTTTCTGACAAATCTGTTGGGGTGTACTCATTTTTGCTGGGTACTGTATATCTATTTATGCCAGAGTATATATTTACATAATTCTCTGCATGCCCCCCATTGCAGCACAGGTGCCATCAGTCAACAAACGTTTTCTTCCCCAGCAAGCTGTTGGTGTTGCAATAAAATAGTTGAGGCTTACTACTCATGGCTGTATAACCTGTTAAACATTGCTAATTGATTATTACTATTTTACCAGTGTTTTGCTTTTATGCATTAACTGAGGTTGTATAAGCGAAACCCCTTATTCCTGTAGCCTGATATTTTGAACAAGTCTAATATAGAGGTGTTAATAAAGAAATATGTCTCTTGCATTTTTATTCTATACTGTCGAACTATGAACCGAGAGTGCCAGAAGTGTCGAGAGGCTTGTATAGTCAGGGCAACCACTGAGAACAAGCATTATCAATTGGCCCTTGTGTGGGTAACGCTATATATACATAAACATATAACTAATAATGGTGATTCAGATAACATGATAATACAATGGTCACTAAAAGAAGATCTAAACCCAATCACAAAATCTAATATAATCTAAAATAATCTAATATAATCAAAAATTTTTAAATCTAAAATTAAAAGGTTTAATTTTACATTAAAAACTTGCATAAAAAAGGATGCCTTGTGATGGGAGAAACCCCAAACTCATGGCTCCCAGTAACATTTTGACTGCTGATGCCAAAATGAAAAGTGAATTTATTTATTATACAAGAATGCAGGGTTAGCTACATGAACAGAGCACAACACAATACATAGTATTGGGTTCAAAGGTTTTGCTCTGTCAAACTAATGATTTCACAAAAAGTATGTAATGTATCTGCTTAATCAAAAATAAATGTATGATAAATGAAATGGCTGCTCCACTTTCCCCCACACTGGTCAACCAATGCATCTGTTTTGACTTCCTTTCTATTTACTCCTGGAACAAACCTGTAGTACTGGGACACAAAAAAAAAAGGATGAAAAAAAGTGAAAAACATGGCAATTATACAGTATACAGTGGGCCAAAAAAGTATTTAGTCAGCCACCAATTGTGCAAGTTCTCCCACTTAAAAAGATGAGAGAGGCCTGTAATTGGCATCATAGGTAGACCTCAACTATGAGAGACAAAATGAGAAAAAAAATCCAGACAATCACATTGGCTGATCTGTAAAGAATTTATTTGCAAATTATGGTGGAAAATAAGTATTTGGTCACCTACAAACAAGCAAGATTTCTGGCTCTCACAGAACTGTGCCTTCTTCTTTAAGAAGCTCACTCTGTCCTGCACTCATTACCTGTATCAATGGCACCAGTTTGAACTTGTTATCAGTATAAAAGACACCTGTCCACAACCTCAAACAGTCACACTCCAAACTCCACTATGGTGAAGACCAAAGAGCTGTTGAAGGACACCAGAAACAAAATTGTAGACCTGCACCAGGCTGGGAAGACTGAATCTGCAATAGGCAAGCAGCTTGGTGTGAACAAATCAACTGTGGGAGCAATAATTAGAAAATGGAAGACATACAAGACCACTGATAATCTCTCTCAATCTGGGGCTCCACGCAAGATCTCACCCCATGGAGTCAAAATGATCACAAGAACGGTGAGCAAAAATCCCAGGACCACACGAGGGGACCTAGTGAATGACCTGCAGAGAGCTGGGACCAACGTAACAAAGGCTACCATCAGTAACACACTATGCCGCCAGGGACTCAGATCCTGCAGTGCCAGACGTGTCCCCCTGCTTAAGCCAGTACATGTCTGGGCCCATCTGAAGTTTGCTAGAGAGCATTTGGATGATCCAGAAGAGGATTGGGAGAATGTCATATGGTCAGATGAAACCAAAATAGAACTGTTTGGTAGAAACACAACTCGTCGTGTTTGGAGGAGAGAGAATGCTGAGTTGCATCCAAAGAACACCATACCTACTGTGAAGCATGGGGGTGGCAACATCATGCTTTGGGACTGTTTCTCAGCAAAGGGACCAGGGCGACTGATCCATGTACAGGACAGAATGAATGGGGCCATGTATTGTGAGATTTTGAGTGCAAACCTCCTTCAGCAAGGGCATTGAAGATGAATCGTGGCTGGGTCTTCCAACATGACAATGATCCCAAACATACCACCCAGGCAACGAAGGAGTGGCTTCGTAAGAAGCATTTCAAGGTCCTGGAGTGGCCTAGCCAGTCTCCAGATCTCAACCCCATAGAAAACCTTCGGAGGGAGTTGAAAGTCTGTGTTGCCCAGCGACAGCCCCAAAACATCACTGCTCTAGAGGAGATCTGCATGGAAGAATGGGCCAACATACCAGCAACAGTGTGTGCCAACCTTGTGAAGACTTACAGGAAACGTTTGACCTCTGTCATTGCCAACAAAGGATATATAACAAAGCATTGAGATGAACTTTTGATATTGACCAAATACTTATTTTCCACCATAATTTGAAAATAAATTCTTTCCAAATCAGCCAATGTGATTGTCTGGATTTTTTTTCTCATTTTGTCTCTCATAATTGAGGTCTACCTATGATGCCAGTTACAGGCCTCTCTCATCTTTTTAAGTGGGAGAACTTGCACAATTGGTGGCTGACTAAATACTTTTTGCCCCACTGTATATTACAAAGCGCAAACAAATTAAATGTCATCTAGTTATAATTTACATTTACTTTATTTAGGATTTTGCCCTTGAAAATGCACATACACCATGTGCAAAAAGTATAAAATGTATCTTACAGAATAACGTTCAGGTAAATACTCAAACATTTAATACTGATTTTATCTAGTGCAGGAGTGTGGGATTTATGCTCTGTGCAATTATCTATGTTTATGACTTATGGCTGAATAGATTTTGCAGAATTCTGAATCTCGGCCTTGATCTGGACATAACAAAATCCTGCTGCGAAGAAGAAAAAAGCTCCCCTGGTGACCCAAAATGCTTGTTTTTATATAAACCATGCATCATGAAGCCTTGGTTTCTATGGTAGCCCTAAAGTGATGTCATCTCCTAATACGTCCTAGCCCCTGACCACATGTGATCAGAGTTTAAAGCAGATATTGGTAACATTTATTAAATAAGAAACTTCCAATAACAATGTCTACAGTCTATGCTTGAGCTAACAAGTGGGATAAATCCCAAATAATTTTGAATGGAGTATTTTTGACCTGCAAAAATGTGTATACTTCTTCCAGTAAAGCAGAGTAAATAGAATAGCTGAGGCACAAAGTTAAATAATCTGTAACATCCAGATTTTGATTTGCTGTCAGATCAGTGAAAGAGAAATTCTGATAGGTTGCTATGGGTTCCTGTACTGTACAATTTGTTCTTTGCCTAGCAGAACAAGCCTGTGTTATTTGTCTTTTAGGTGCCCTTCTATTAAGCTGCATTTGATTTTTTACCTCATGTGAAACAGGAAAAACTATTTTTCAGCAGCTATATTACATCCTAGATATCAATTGTTTACAATAGGGATCAAAAAAGGAACAAAATAGGGATCAAAACGTAAATGTTTAATGTCACGATTGCAGAAAGTTTCAATTGGAGCGCACAAAAAAGTATATTTTATTTCCTCTAAGGGCAGCAAAGGCAAAATCACAAGGGTCAGCAGGTCTCCTGAAATTTGACATTTTACCTGTATAATCCATTTCATGGAACATATTACAGGACAAAGTATCAATATTCTGGAATGGGTCATGCTGCTATCTTCAGTGGATTGAACACTGGCAAACAAACTTACAAAGCTGTAAAGCAGCCCAGTATGACCCGCCCACTCCCAACATGCCGTGGTTTTTCTAGCAAGCAATAGCAGGAATGAATCATAAGAACAGAGGCTAGATACTTGCATCCTGCAATTTATTCAATGAAAAGGATTTTACAGGTAACAAAAAAAATCCTTTTTTTTAATCGTACATTACAGGACACAGGATGAAGTATTCTGGAAGTAATTGGACATCAAAAATCTGTCCAACTGGGAGGTGAGCAACAGAGTCAATAAAATGCTAATGGGACCAAGCGAAAAACCTTCAGGTTAACAAAGTTTGTTTAACTCAGAAAGCTGCTTGAAGAACCTTACAACTTAAGCTGGCATCAGACCTGAATGTCCACTTGGTTAAACTTAATGAAGTGTGAACAGCAAGTTGATAGATAAAGGAAGGTCCTTGCCCTTGAGGTCATAAGGCAAGATTGAGGAGCTGTTGAATCCACGGAGCAATAAAGAGAAGTAGATTCTCCTACAGAGACCTTCGTAAATAACAAAGCACTGTAGCTCAGAAAAATTGGAAGAGCTAATACCACAACAGGACAATGGAGGTGAATTCCCTTAGGACATGCAGGAACATGACAGAGAAATAGTATAACACTGTTTTGCTTAAAGTAAAAAGAAGGAACCACTTTAGGAAAAAAAGAAGTTCTGTGCAACACAAAAAAAAAAAAAAAAAAAGGTTTCCTACAGGTTAAAGCCACCAACTCAAAAACTTGCCTAGCAGAAGTGATGACAACAAGAAAGGCAATCTTGCGAGTAATATTTATGAAATGTTTAAAGGGTGTCCTTTGAAGAACTGTCACAGAATTTGTGAAAAATGTATTTCCTAGTTTTTGTCCTAGTTGTCAATAGAGTAGAAATTACTGAATCTCACAGGGCCTTGTGCTGCAGGACCTGGGTGTCAA